GAATGATTTTTGAATATTTACGGATTGACGAAATATCCATGATATCATCACAATAGCCAAATATTAGCTAACATCCTTATCTATATGCACCGAGCCAGAGCTCAGTTGTCTATCGTTTTAAATTCATTGAACTTACTCTAATAACCTGGTCATAAACGTCCTGTAACATCTATAGCTAATTGTCTCATTTTTGACTTTGGTTGATTTGACAAATCAAGGCTCTCAACAATAGCGTTAAGAATACAGTCTTTGTTAGCTAGTCACTAAAAGAGTACGGCATTGTGCCTGACTTAATTAAATTTGTAAAGTTTTGTGTAGCTTGAAGATAAGAAATAATAAACAATGTGAAAAAAGGAGATAAAAATGGATTTGAAACCCAAGAAAAGATTGTGAGAGTAGTAAGGACAAGAAATCTAGATAGTTCTTAGCCAAATCCTAATGTAGGTCACTTAATACTCCTTGAATTTTAATGAATTTCATGACTTACATTGATAACTGATTTAGTTAAATAACCACTAAAAACCATGAAGTACTAGATAGCTTCTTCGTCCCTTTACTCCTCAACAGTAAAACGCCAACACCGCTCTGAGTATCAGAGGTGGTCAGTCCGTAATGGAAGCTGGCAAAATCCCAACGACCACTACAGATCTCTTATGGTAATAAGATCACTAATGGTGAAAGCTAACAGCGATATTTGAATTTTCAGTATGGGGTTGTGGAGATTGTTGAATTTCACTGAAATCATGAACTGACATAAGTTAGACTACCATTGAAAACCTTGAAGCACCGAATGGCCATCTCCTCCTAGTATGGGACTCCCAAACAGTGAGCATCCACGATCTTGCAAGAGAGAATATAATTCAGGTTCTTAAGTTCGCGTGAGGACGATTGACCTCTAGACCAATGAGTTGACATCCAAGGGTGTTAATGTCCAACTTTAATAAGTTTGTGATAGTGCGACCATATTTCATTGTGTTCGGTGGGTACCTTCCTCACGGCCGACACGGATTAGCTCCGCTGGTCACAACTTCTCATTAGAACTCTAGAAAGCTTCATTCGAAGCTTTAACGTTCTTAATGGTAGTCTAACATAAATCGTTTCACGATTTCAATGAAATATTTGAATATTTGAAATTCTTTTTGGTTGACTCGTTAAAAAATGACTAGAAATGATGACATTATATATTGATACAAACTAAGATAAATAGTCGATCATTGCATGAACTGTTATTGTTTTGACCTGATTATCTTAAAACTTCATTTTATTCAATAACATATTCATACAACTTTCAAGTTATTTACAAATGATTCATAACAATACCAGTTATCGTATTTTCATATTTTCTTGTTGATCGGTAAAAATGCTTAAAGTGGACACTTCATATTTAGATTTTATACTTCCAACTGTTTAATCGCATAGTAATTTAACAATCAATATTTCACTTGAATGAAAGTTTGATTGAACAATTGTAAATTTCGCAGAGATGGATGGTGGCTAGCAGTGGAATCCAGGACGCGCGTTTCGTCCTATTTTGGACTCGTCAGCTGGATGTGCCTGCATCTCAGAGTTGATGTTCACTCTGGGACTCGAACCCAGTGCCCTCGCTTCAAACGCCATTGCGTTATCCACTCGGCCACTGAGTCCTGATAGCCATTTGCTTGTTGAATTGTTGCTAAGTTGAATTGTAAATTTCCATTCAAACGAGCTGGTAAATTTGATTCTACGATATGACACACAGTTTACTAAAGAAAAAGTTCAACATTATTAGGAAGAGGAACATCAGATTCAGCAAGACTGCAGACAGACTTCAGACAGATTTCAAATAGCATGAAACACAGAGCATCCTCTTGGCTACCTACAACTGTTGTGTGGTCTACTTATGTCCACATAAGTTGTATATGATGATGGTCAAACATAGAATGTATTTTAGCAGAAGATCGATAAGGAAAGAACTGAAATCTAGCGCAATCGGTAAGAAAATGCATGAACAATGAAATCAGAGAAGAAGAACTGATATTTGCAGAAGGAACAGTTAAGATTGCGACAATTGATTGTTATTTTACAAATTAACTGTTTACTGTATGATTATCAGAATTTAGTGAGATAGTCTGTAATTTGTGCCTGCATATATTAGATGGTCTCCACTCATGTTCTTGTTCACTACACAACCATCTGATATTCCAACAAAAATTCAAGTCATTTAGATTAATGACCACATTACAACTTGGTTGATAAAATAAAGTCAACCTTAAAGATCTAGACAAACATAACCCTGGTGATAAATCAGTTGTAATTTCAACTCCATATATCTATTCAATCTTTAAAGTCGATGGATCACACTTCACAAGTTAACTAATTCACTCATTCAATTATTATTGCTAAACATTTTTGAAAGTCAAAAATACCTAAATTCATTCCACTAAAAATCTTTTCATAACACCTTAACTGCATTTACTGTAAATAATTAAATTGTTACTATGTATTGCTTACATGATAGAATAACATTTTTTTGTTTGAAAAAAAAGAAATCATAACCTTAAATATCGTTACCATGGTTACAACAAGAATATTCGTCACTTTAAGTTATTCTGTTTAACGTGATGAAAATAAGTTTACATGATGATACTGAAGCACGTTTTCATAATTATACTATATATACTCTACCACCCACCCTCTCTCCCCCCCTCTCTCTCTATGTATATATATCGAAACCAAACTAATTAATGATAAATTCACTTAAATTTATTGATTTAAGCCTTTTTAAGCCAGTCATAACAAGAAAGTATAGAGATGAATGTAATTTTTTTTATTTATTAATCGATTAACGAATCATTTTAAAAATTTAACAATGTAGAACAGCAGCAAATTAGATTGATATTGTAATGTCGGTTGCTATGTCGAGCCTATATAGGTTATTTTAGTTTCTGAACAAATCAATTTATTCATTCTTTTCTCAAGCTATAATGTGACCTCGTCAAACTTGACTGTTTTTATATGAGCATATGTGTGTGCACTTCATATCCCATTCATCACATATCTGTAACTTATTTTTGTTGGACTATAAATATAGATTGACAATTGTAGGTATCATTACCAAGTCTTGATTTGATAATTTTGAATAAATTGAGCATTGGGTAGATTGTTATAAATAAATTATATATTTGTAATATCCCAATGAGTAGAAAAATTATATTTTCTGACGTTTCGTGACTCAGTGTAAGCCACTTCTTCAGAGAATAAATAACCAAATTAACATTAATCCAAGTTTAAATAGTACAACATAAACTTGGATTAATGTTAATTTGGTTATTTATTCTCTGAAGAAGTGGCTTACACTGAGTCACGAAACGTCAGAAAATCTAATTTTTCTACTCATTGGGATATTACAAATATATTATTTATTTATAGATTGACAATTGGTTAACTTGAGTTGATTCACTCGTCTTCTACATTATGTGTCATTCTGTTTCGCTTCGCTTATCAATCAACAACTGCACAAAACATACCTATTTAGGAATTCATTCTCGTATTTGACTAATTTAATTCTTGTTGAAATCATGAGTCATTTGAAGCTAGACCGCCATGGAAAACCTGGAAACACTGGACGGCCGTTTCGTCCTATTATGGGACTCCTCAGCAGTGCACATCCACGAATCATGGTGGTCTAGCTTCAATCGACTCACGCTTTCAACAATAATAAATACTAAATCTCCACAAAACCCCTTCTATAATTTAATTCTGTTATTCACTAATCCGAGTTGAGTCGATGAGTATATACGAGGATTGACGATATAAGTATGATAAGTCTTGTTAATTGAACGCTATGCTCGGATCCTAAGCTAGTCTCGTAACCCTGTACCTAAATCTATACAACAACTTGAACACGAGAGAAAAAGCACAAATTATACGAGAAGCACTTTACTCCAAAGGTTCATTCACGTACAGAAAATATATATGGTTTTTATAGTATTTTACAAGCCCTTGAGTTTTTCTGAAAATTCTAGAATACTTCTAAACGTAGTAGCAATATAGTAATCAGTCAATCAGAAACTCTACATGTAATTCTTCATTTTCGTGATGTTTCTAGTAAAACTTCAAGTCAACCGCTAATTGGATGAAATGCTTCATAATGTTTCCTCAGATTGTTATGTCTATTGCGAGAAATTTTCTGAATCATCCCAACTGTATATTTTGATAACAATCATTCATGCGATTGAGCTAGTGTCAGATTTCAGGTTACAAAAATATCGATATCTATATATATCTCAATAGGAATTTTGGAATTCTTTCAAAATCTTGTTATCTATCATTTAGATGTATTATTTACAATTGATAAGAATAGATTAAGTTCAAAAAACACAGTATGCCGTGAAATAGAAGCAGATATGAAAAGGATATATGTTGACTGGAAAGAACTGGAAAAGATTGCCCAGGATAGGGTTGGATGGAGAATACTGGTCAGTGGCCTATACTCTTCCATGAGGGGTTAGTAAGTAAGAATAGATTAATTCATGCCAATAATAATAATTATTATTAATTAATACATATTATAAACATATCTGAATGAGACTAAAAATATTTAAACAAGAATAAAATAAATAAATAAATAATGAAACAAATAAAAACAAGAATTCTGATTTCTGATTCATTAATGAATAGAAAAACAAAACAAAACAAAAAAAAAGAAAAAAAAATTCACTTCAGTGAATATACAATCTAATCGATTTCTGATATTATTCTCTTTATATTCATAATTTTTTTTCACATAAAATATATGAATCTTTTTCAGAGAAAAAAAAAACGAAAAAAAAAACAAGAAATGAAAAGCGTAAAATACATTGGAAAACAAAAGAAGGATGAATAAACTTAAGTAAATCTATTAATGATCATCTATTAATCTCTTTAATTAAATAGGTTCATTTTTTACATATTATTAGTAGTAGTATTAGTAATAGTAGTATTGGTAGTAGTATTAGTAGTATTGGTATATTTAGCTTTATTTATCCTGGTATATCAATTAAATCACCTGTTATTGATGATATAGTTGATGTAGTTGTCATATATGGTGCTTCCCATATTAATAGACCATTATCTAATTTTGCTATTAATTTATTATGATCTACATTAATTGGTATTGTATTTTCATGTAAAAATTCACGTGCAATTTTAGTTTTATGATTATTTTCAATATTATTACCTTTTTGTTTAATCATTATTGTAAGTAAACCATTTTTTAAATGAATATTTAAATCTTCTGGTTTAACATCTAAACCAACTTTCATACTTTGTGTATAAAATTTTGTTGGTTTAGTTAAATGATTACTATTATTGTTAATAGTAGTAGTAGTATTTGGTATTGTTGTTGTTGCTACTGTCGATGTTGTATGATTGATTAATCGATTAATTGGATTATTATATTGATTTTGTATTGATATATTGTTCATAGAATCATTCTCATCGAAATTATTTGTAACTGGGAGTATATGTAATGGACGTTGAGATTTCAGTGTATTATTATTTAGTAATTTATGTTCATTTTGATAATAATAATTATGATTATTATTAGGATGAGTATTCTGTAAGAATGGTGATTGAGATTGATGATGATTTAAAGTTAATGGTTTAGAAGATTGTTTCAAATAAGTTGATTGATTTTTTCCTACTTCAACACGAATATTTTGTACATTATTGATAGGAGTTGATTGATGATAAGTTTGATTAGTTTCAACACGTACAGGTATATGAATTGGTTCTGTTTTTGTAAAAGAATTACTTCTACTATAATGATTTGATAATCTATTTGTATTTGGATAATTTAATGGATTAGTTTTTTTCACATGAAATGATTTATTAAAATTATTTGATAAATTTGTAAATGATGAATTACGATGTCGTGTTTCACTAGAAAATGATGTACGTAATCTAGGTGAATCTGTTAATGAATTACGATATATTGGGGAACATGATAATCCCCAATTAATATGACGTTTTGAATTAGGACTCATTTGTGAACTTTTTAAAATTGGTTGTTCACGTCTATTTACATCAGCACATAATAATAATGTATTTTTATTTAAAATAGTACTTTTCAATGTATTTAAATCAACAGATTGTGGTAATTGTATTTCACGTCTAAATTCTTGTTTATATTTTTCACCAGTTGGTTTAATCTCTTCATGATTTAAACTTATTGTAACATCTTGTGATTGTCTTGTAATTCGTATACTTTCTTCTGGATAACCTTGTAAATCTACTTCAATACAATATTTTGATTTTCCATAAGAATCATGAGTATAATATTCTTTACATGGTGTAATAGAATTTAATAAATTTCCTCCAGATCGATATTCCATTGAATTACGATTTAAAATAGGAATTGGTGGTGGACGTTGCATTGTTATATAATCAATCCGATATTAACATTTGCATTTATGTAATCTTCTAAACAGTTTTGTTCCTTTTTATATTCCAATAATTTTTTTATATATTTATTCTTAAAATAATTGGTTGATTTAGTGTGCTGATTTCTATTGGTTGTCTTTCATTTCAAGGTCATATGCATTAAATATATCAGCCAATCAGAAAGAAATAGATTATTGGTAGGGTTAGTTTTTATTGATGCACTCTTGCATTGTAAATTTATGGTAAAGAACATTAGAATACTGTGAATATCATTTTTAGTTTGTGTTTATTGACTGTGTGTATGTGTGTATACATGTCTATTAATCATGATATGATTGGTTAATTAAATGGTTGTTATATTTACTTTATTTGTCTTCCATTGTAGTTTATATGAAACGAATTGTGCATTGGTGATACTTTAAAAGATTTTGATAGATTTACATCATTTAAAAAAAAAACTTTTTTATGTTCGTCATATTGTTGGAATCCTTTTTTCTCTATAACATTTTATTGTGCTAATCTTTTAGTTTTAGTTTTATATTACAGGTAAATTACTTACTTACAATCTGTATTTTCCTTGTTTCAATCATTTCTTTGATAGTTACAATATTATTCTCACATTTTTCATAGGATTAATCAATGAGTTTGTATGTGTGTTTGTGTACTTTAACTCTCTCTCTCTCTCTTACATTCATTGATAAGTAGATGTGTTTATTAATAACAACAATTATATTGTAAGTAAAGATAGATAGTGGCTAGCAGTGGAATCTAGGACGCGCGTTTTGTCCTATTTGGGACTCATCAGCTGGATGTACCTGCATCTCAGAGTTGATGATCAATTGTAGTTCTAAACATCAATTAGAAAATTTAACCAAACTGTAGTGAACAGAACACTGGTTGGGGACAATCGAATGTATTTAAGCAAACATTACAGACTATCTCGGTAAATTCTGATAACCAAACAATGAACAGTCAATTCGCAAATTAACAACCAATTGTTTCAATCTTCACTGTTTCTTCTCTAATTCCATTGCTCATGTATTTTCCATACGATTGCGCTTCATTTCCATTCTTTCCTCATCGGTCTTCTGCCAAAATACATTCTATATCTGACCCACACCATATACTACTTATATAGATATAAGTAGACCACACCACACAAACAATATCAAATGAATTTAAGTCTTGTAACAGTTATTTATTAAAAAATTCAATAAATTTTATTACTTAACTGTCTTGTAATGTTTATTACTTGTTTAATTTTTTTTAAATTTCAAACAAATAAAATAACATGAGAACTATTAAGAAAAAAGAAAAAAACAGAAAAAAACGAAGCTTGGTAACATGCAGAATTTTTTTCAAAAAAAATGGTTATAAACTAACTAACACTTTTTAATAAAGATTTACAATTTTTCTAATATAATAAAAAGAATAGACCATATGATTATATAAAGTGTATATTATTATAATTATGTAATATGAATCATGTGTAGTTTTAAGATGCTGGAGAAGATTTGTAGCTCAGTGGATGATTTTGATGGAGTTTTGTTCACTGAGCTGCATGGTTTGGTCGTGGAGCTTTCATCCTTGTTCTGAACGACATCGTCAGGACAAACTTTAGATAGAAGATCTCCTCTAATTATTGGCTTCATAATAAAGTCCCTAAAACTTTGTCTAAATTCAACTATATTTAGATTCAAAGAGATTCTTTACAAACAAACAAATGAAGTGCTCATGAGATCCTTTATTTCACTAATTATCGTTAATTTGTTGACATCCTATATAGAATCATATATTTTTGTCAGTGTCATTAAACCAAGCATTTGGCTTAGATATGTAGATGACATTATTCCTAAGAATCTTTTCTAATTTGATCAATACTTTCTTTTAGCTTAAATCAAATTCACTATGGACAATAAAATGAACTTAGTGAACAACCATTTTTTGACTTTTTATATTCAAAAGGAATTCCAAATGGAAGTCTAAATTTAACCATTTACCGTAAGTTGGCATACTCAATTCGTTGTTACGTTGATTTCAACTAAGAACTTTTACTTAATGTCAAAAATTTCTTTGGCTTTAAACTTCTTCAGATGTTCTTCTAAGATGATTATATTGGATGCAGAGAAACAAAAAGAACATTGGGATATAATTACCATATAATAATTTAGTAATTTTCTCATGAATTTTGCTAAAAGTACACTAAAACGAAATGTTCTTTTTTCAAAGATTAAATTTTTTCATAGTTGAAATCATGAGTCAATTGAAGCTGGACCACCATGGAAAACATGGAAGCACCGGACGGCTAGCTAGACTTATTATGGAACTCCTCAGCAGTGCGTATCCACGATCCCGCACTCGTGAGATTCGAACCAAGGACCTACTAGTCTTGAGCCAGAGCCCTTAACCGATAGAACACTGAGCCGGCATCCAAGGGTGTTAATGTCTAACTTCAATGTCTAGCTTCAATTGACTCATGATTTCAACTATGAAAGTACTAATATTCTCCACAAAACCCCCTCTGATCTAATTTTTTTTTATCAAAAAGTTTTTTCTTACTTTCTAGTTATCAAATCAAGAAGAAGAAAAAACGAAAAAGAAAAAGAGAAATGAAAAAATGAAGAAAAATAAAATCTAATGAAATATGATTTAACATTTTAAATTGACTCATTATAATATTTAATTTTAGTCAATTTATAATAATAATACAGTTTATCATAAAATAATAATAATAAATAATATAATAAAAAAGTGAGGCTGCTAGGGCTTTCAACCGTTCAATATCTCGGCATTTACTTGACACCGGGCACACCATTGATATTCCTCATGATTTCAAAATTATTAACAAATATAGAAGAATGACCGCTTTTCGGTTTGCTGAAGCGATCATGATAAAAAACTAAAACCAGATCTATGTATTCAAAAAGAGACAGTGATAAACTTATTACTACCATGGTGGGGGACAAAATCCGACTCACACGTCCTCGTCGTGCCTCCTGGATCATGGGACTGTTTCCATGAACTAACGTGAGCGGTTAATTGAGGGTGGTGAAAATCGGACTAATTTTTCACTCTTCCAATACCCAAAAACGATTACGAGTGCTACAAGGAATCATTGCATAGCTATTGAGAGTGCAAGAAGAGAGAGAGGAAAAAATAAAATTGAAAATAAAAAACAAAAGTAAAAATAAAGTCTTTCCAAATAAAAACAAAACAAATAAAGAAAAAGAAAATGGGTTCTGTGTGAGTGTTATGTAATGGTTCCGTGTGGCTTTGCAGAAACAGCTATCTCACCCTGGTAGTTGTGCCGTGCTGTTTTTTTTAATAGTTTTTTGGATATCAGTTTTATTTTGGTTAATATTTAGTTTTTATTATATTCCTCTTCTATTATCCAATTCTTAAACTACCCTTTCTTTCACACATTTCCACTTACTTGTCTCTCTTAAGTTATATGAACTCTCCAAATTCTATTCAATTATTACGTAACCTATCCTATTTGTTTTTAATTCTATGAATCCTTTATTACCTCTAAAATTATCACACATTTTATTTTATCTGTCTTTGAATTTCACTCAACTATTACACCACCTACCCTTTATGCTTCCTTCATTCTAATACCTAATAACCTCTAACCTTTCATTGTACATCTAGTTATCATTGATAACCTTTTGTTATTCCAATCCTTTATATTCAATTATGTCAATCGTTCCATATTATTTATTATTTGCAATGCTAAAATTCTAATACATATTTGGTTGTAACCAACTGATAAGAAACTACGAAATATAATGAATTCATATTATTCTGTATCAATATTTATTCTGGATTTATTTCAATTCATAAAAGGAACTAATTGTATGAAATAAATAAAAATGATTGATTTAATGAAGAATTCTCATTTCGATAAATTTCATTTTTAAAACTTTATAATTACGAATATATAATTACAATAATAATGATAATAAATTTTTGTTAAAACATGGTGACAATAAGGTAAAATAAACAAATGTATACAAAAAATTTATTTAACCAAAGGGGGGACTAATAATCATTTGATTATTAAGAGTTTAAATATTCATCATTAAGATAGATAAGGAAGGTAGTTATATTGAATCTTTTTAACATTGCCTAAACAATGATCATATATCTGTGAAAACTAGAATTGTGTGATCAAAAGAGATTAATAGAACCTCTTCTTCTACTATGGTTTTAATGTTTCATAAATTTTTTTCCTTTATACTCTTATCCTTTGTAGTTATTTGTCCTCCTTCCATTTTTAATGTATCATAAATTTTCTTTTCATTAATACCCTTCCATCTTCTCCTTAAACCTTTTACCTAAACTGGTTTATTTATGTTTTTATTATCTCTCTTGATTACATTTAATCTTAATTTCAACATTTTATATTATCATGCTGATCCATACCTTCTCAATGATAAGTTCCTTATCTATTTTCAGAATGAATCTTTAATCCTTTGACAATCAAACGAATAATAGTTGTACCTGTAATCTTGAGGGAACTGGTGCTCCCTGACAAATTCGACCATTATTATCATAATGATTATAATAATTGTAAACAAAGATGGATGGTGGCTATCCATCATTGCTTACAATGCTTGTGAATTAAGGCTATGTCGAGACAATACGCTCAGTATGCATATATGCCAATTAGGGGCTGATCAATTGCAGTCCTAAACATCAATGGGAAGATCCAAACTAACAATACTAAGTGAATTATTATAATAATTATTATCCTGAAAAACTAAGTATACATACCTGCGATTGTACAACTTTGAAAATGAATTTACCGAAAAGAAAACTATTCACTGAACCAATTTTTCTTATTTAATGTCTCAAGAAGTGTATTCCGTCTACTGAAAGAAGTTTTATTATCAAACATGATCCAAACACTGGAAATTTTTCTTATAACAGTATTCTAGATGAATGATTTATTTATTATTATTAGCTTTATTTAATATTATATTTTTGGTAT